CTAAAATTTAAAAAAATTAGCTTGAAAGTATAGGTTTGCGTTATACGCCGGATTTTATGGTACTTTCTTCAGTAAAACTTATTTAAGGTATGAGGCAATTATTATTTCGTTTTATTCTAAAAAAAAGATCGAGCTTTCCAGTAGACCTAATAATTAAGATCAGTTATATTACTGTCTACATCATATATATATATATTGTGTAAGCTAAAAAAATGGCAGGTAACTAACAGAAATATACAGTTTTAGATGCAGAATATTTTATTGTATTTCTGCCTCGTATTCATTTATTACAGCACTAGTTTATAATCATGATTTTAAGTAAATTGTTTGCTTCTTTTTTAATTGTTATGACTATAGCTACTTGAAGTTTCATACATCTAATGAGATTTACTATTTTGTGAAATAATTAAAAAAAAAAGATTTACTTTGTCCTGGAACTTTGTAATATTATCTAATTTGATTTATAAAAAACAATAAAACGCAGTTTCAAAAAGAATCGATACCTTGAAGACGTCTGCTTAGAAATATCATTTTCTGTTTTGAATATGAATTTATCTGATATAATAATGGAAATGAGATTACACAAAGCACTACGTAAGAATATAGAAAAAAAAAATAGCGATTTTGTATTATTTTTAGGGAATGACATAAAATACTTTATGCACATACATGTTTTTTGACTTCACTGAAAACATATAAATAATCTTCCTGATATTTATTGAGTCTTAATAAAATTATTTTAATATTTTAAGAAGTGCTGTGCATTTAGTTGCCTATAATAATAATACATAATTTTTACACTGATTTTACTGAATTCGACTTGGGAAAGCATTTCATGCGGAAGATTAAAATTTATTTTTCGAGTAAAGTGAATGTTTTCAATCAAATAATCAATAAAATTATTAAGCTAATGAATCAGTATTATATATGTGAGATGATTCCGTACTAAAATAATATGAAATGTTGAACTGAAAGAGAGTTAAGAAAATGAAGAATAAACAAATTTTCGAATTATGTCATTTTTCTAATATTTTGCAAAAGGGTATTGAGATTTTAATTTCTTCTAAAGGAAAACAATGAAAACGTATATAAATCTAACAGCTGATTAAAAATGTTTTTTTAAAAACTAAGCTATTAAATGTCAAAATTAAGTATTTAAACAGGAGGATTATGGAAATTTAAAATCACAATTATTTATTGACAGGAGACATAAGAAAGAGGATACATGTAACAAATGCACGTTATTTTTTCTACATCAGTGATTCCCAAAGTGGTCTATATAGACCCCAAGGGTCTATGACGACCTGCAGTGAGTCGACGTCAGCGAAAAAGAATTTGGATTAAAAATATAAATAATAATAATTAATATTTAATAATAATTTTAAATAATAATAATTTAATAAATTAATCTACGAGGTATAAATGGGGGTCTACGATAGTAGCTCTCATTAAACCAGATCGTGACTTTAATTTTAAAAGGAAATTTAATCAATTGGAAACCAAACTTGTCTATTGAACAGATTTGTTTACTAAATTATATGAGGTTAATTTGCAGTTACAAAGAGACAGCATAAATTTTATTAAAACACGGACAACATTCCAGCCTTTCTTGCCAGAATTAAGCAAAATAAGTACACTGGTGTGCAAAACTTTAGCAACAATGTAAAATTTTAGCAGATAGCCATGAAATTGCAGAAAGAAGGTCTGGAGATCAGTAGAGGAACACGTAAGTCAGTAGAAACGTCATGCGGCAAATATCAGGGAAAAAAACGTCAGAAGCGATGTGAGGGTACGCAAAACGCGTGATGTCGCGCGCGCTGCTCAACAGTAGAATGAAATGAAGGGCGGAGACGCAATTCACCATATTCTCTGAAGTGCCAGTGAGTCAGTTCGTGAAATATGGCTAGAATAAATCATCTGGATGACTTCACCGTGGAAGAATGATCGGAAAGCTGGAGGAGGGGCGTACTGTCACCAGTGTAGCTGCAGAGTTCGGAATCAAAAAAAAGTGTGTTTCGCGCGCTTGAAAGCGTTCCAAACCACGGTACAGTTTTAAAAAGGTTGGTGTGGCCCCCCGGGACGACAACTCGGGGAACGTTATCATCCTGCAGGCAAAAAAGTTCGACAGAAGTCAGCAAGCGCCATTGTTCAGAAACTGTACGCTACAGGTCGACAAGTGTGCGGTTTACTGTGGCCAGACCCCTTTCCCAAAAGGCATGTTCACCCCCGTCCAAACCCGCTGCCTCCCGTTGAAAGATGGTCACCAAGCCACCGTTTACAGGGGGGACAGAGAGCAAAAAAACGGGACAACTAATCAATGGTCGTGTTCTCTTTACGGATGAAGTCGGTTCAGTCCCAGAAGCGATTCTAAACGCTTTTTGATTTGGAGAAAAATCGGGACCCGGTTTTATCCCAGTAACATAAAGGAAAGACACGTTACGGTGGTCCTGGGTTCTTGTCGGGGTTGGCATTATGCTGCGGCAAACGAGCCCCACCGACGAGGGTTTTAACCGCGGATCGCTATTTGAGGAGGTACTTTTTCCCCCATCTGCATTTTTTCCGGGTGCCTTGGCCCAGACTTCATCTTTATGGATGAAATCCCTCCCAAATCGCACTCTTGCTGTTGGGGGCTGCTGGAAAGTGAAGATATCACTCGAATGGTTTGGGAGCGTCCCCAGATTTAAATCCCATTGAAATGTGTGGGATGCTTTGGAGACGTATTGCCCCCGCTCACATCACCCGGGAGCAACCAAAAACCCAAACAGTGTTGTTGAGGAATGGGCACTCCCTACCTCAAAAATGTTGCACCAGCTGGTTCTGAGTATGCGGAGACGGTTCAAAGCAACCATTGTAGTAAAGGGGGGGGCAAAAACCACATTAAGGGAAAATCCTTGTTGTTCTTCCTGTTGGTAACAATCATGAGTCAGAACTATGCGTTCAATAAAGCTTTTTTTTTTGATTCCTACCGTAGCGTTGTATTCTTTTTTTAGCGCCGATGCTTTCGTCATCCTTTTCGTACATAATACTCTCCCCCATTTCAAAATTTCCCTGTTTTCTGATGATTTTCGTGAAGTTATGGCTAAACCCACCTGTTGCTTAAGTTTTGCCCCACCAGTGTATAATAATGGATATCGCAAATTTTTCCAGTTTCTCAACTGTCACAGACAATCTACCAGGAAAAAAGAAGTTTTAACCTAACATTTAATTGCATTAATTTTAGATTTTGTAGCTAGGTTTGAGAATGTTTTGACATCACATTACAAGAATCAAGCACTAAGAATAGGCACTAACGAAAATCTTAAAGTAAATTTTAGAAACGAATGTCAATAATCCTGGCTTTAAAAAGATATACCTGTTATTTATTCCATATTATAGAGCATCTTGAGAAAGTTTTTAATTATGTTCCGTTTGAAAAGGAGTTACAGAGCGCTTGCCAATCTACAAAACAAAAACAAAAAGAACAAAAAAAAGAAAGAAAAGACTAGACACTATTAACCGAGGAGATATTTAGGGCTAAGCCAGACAAGATTGATGTCAAAAGTTGAAAATCTGTTATTGCATCCCCAGATCCATCCCTCCCGTTAAAAGCATTTGTGTGATGTTCAGTTACTTTATGTAATTATTAAATTTTAATTTAATTATTTAAAATGTCTTTCCTTAAGTTTTAAGCACTATACCTCCATGCAGGTAAAATTTAAATCTTTTAAAAGAAGTAGCTGTAATACCTCCTGTCAAAAACCCATTTAGGTTAATGAATTTGCAAAAATTTAATATTGGTTTAGTAGCGGTCTACCCTAAGCCGAAAAACCTGTCAAGAGGTCTATGAGGAAAAAATGTTTGGGAACCTCTGATCTATATCATGGACTCAAGAGTATTGTCTTCTTTTGAAACTCATGACACTACTTGTCTTTTATCTTGACCCGAGTTTGAGTTTGAGTTAATATTAACGTCGCACTGTTCAGCTACACGAGGGCTTTTGGCGACGGACCACGTAATTTTGAACCATGGTCAAGTGACGTGGACGACACCTGAGCTGGCACCCCTCTCTAACTACCACACCACACCAACGGGAGGACGTTTCAGCTCTCGACAGATTTAACGTGCATCGCTGCCCTACACGGCGGGTCTTCAGTGGTATTGGGCTCGAACTCATGACATGACTGCCATAGTCCGATACCTTAACCACTGGGCTACCGCAGCCCCTATCTTGACCCGAAAACAAAGCAGAAAAAATGCTTTCAAAGGGTTTTATCTGCATCTATTGTTATTAACATGCATATAGTTTTGACGGTTGGACTTTGCAATTCTGGAGATTGTTAATACCTTCAGAAAAGCCTCCATGTCTTTGGCTGTTTCAGTGGTTTTGAATATCTGGTTGTGGCACGCGTCCTTCAGAAAACGGTATGAAATGCGAAGAATTTGTGAGTTATTATTAAATATAAACCCGAATTCTCATAGATGAATTTTTTTTTCAGTGTTAAATACACTTACTGCTATTGTAATTATTGCGCCATTGTTATGTACGGCTATTTTATGGGAATATGGATTTAAAAAATTAACACTTGGAGAAAGAGTAGGACATTTCTTTAAGAAAATCGGCTTACCCGAAGGCTTCCGAGGCTTGTATATTTATTTTTTAATTTTATTTCAATGCGCGATGCAAAATATGATGACTCTACTTTGTACTCTAATATTCCAAGACCTTGGACATTCCATCATTTCACTAAAAGAAAGTTTTCTTCAAGAAGGTGCAACAATAAGTAACATTTTACAAATTTATGAAAAAATTCCGCTATTTAAAAACTGCATCGATAATACTTTTGGAGGATTTTGTTTTATTAATATCTATGGGACATTTAAGAGCCTTTGCGGATATCACTGTTGTTTTAGGATACGAGTCAAATATTAACTCATTAATTTCATTTAATTAAGGAATAAAAAAAGAAACAAACAAAAATAATAGTCCAACACCATATATAAAAGAGAAAATCACTCGTTGTGCCCCTGTAGTGCCATGAATAGCGCTTTGGGCTTCTAACTCAAAGATCGTGGGTTTGAATCCCACTTGGGATGACCTAATTTTTGAGAATGTGATTTCTTTTTACGATAATATTTTACTGGAACAATTAAATTTAATGAAAGAATTAATAATAACAAACAAAACAAAAAAAAGCTCAACTCAATATATGTAAAAGGAAAATGGAAATTTACAAAGAAAATCGCTTTTAATTTTGCCATTTAATATTGTGATCCTGTCATACGTATATACAAATTTATATTAATTGTAATTATTTAGTAAAAACTAACTAAAATACTTTTTTGTTGAACTAAATAGGAATTATCTTAAAATTTGGTTATTATATTACTTGTTTTATTTTTTGTTAGAACATAATAGAAGTAAGTCTATTACAGATAATATAGGGAGCAAAATATTTTTTAAGATGGTAAGAATCAGAATATACAGATATATATAAACAAACAAAACTAGAGTTTTTTGCCTAAATTTTATAACTTCTCATCGGAGAAAATTACTATACCTAATATTTAAGAAGTAAACTTATAATTTTCTGTAAAAATTATTCTGATTTCATTTTCGCCGTAAACATTTTTCGACACAAAGGGGCTAGGTACGTAAAACTATATCAATAAACTATGGATTCAAAACTTCTATATATTAGATTTAAAAGGTTTTGCTCAGTAATACAAAAAGAAAGGCGGAAGATTGGCGAAAATAAAAGTGATTAAATCTGAATTTTTAGAATATGTATGTATACACATATACACTTTCGACAAACAAAAGTTAACAGGCTTAAGATTATTATAGTAAAATATAAAGTTATTCTGACAGGAAGTTTTGAACTTGGATTGTTTTGAAAGTGCAATTTTAATTATAAACACCCTGTGTATCGCTATAAGACTTATGTAATATCAAGTTCATATTTTCAGAGTTGTCAAAGAATAAAAATAGCACCATAACCTTCAAATTTCCCAGTTTTAAGCCACATTTCTTTAATAAAATTTAAATTTAATATTAAAAATGTAACATGTCCGTGTTCTTCTTTTGGCAAGCAAAATCTCGAAAACGCATTCTTAAAATAGGACACAAAGTTTAGAAAGATGTATTTGATTCTACTATCGTAGATTTAACCCTGTATCGACCGCATTATGATTTACTGCAGTTTTTTTCAAGCAATACATTTTTTTGAATCACTACATTGAAAATTAAGGGATATACATAAAAATATTCAACTTTGGGAAATTTAACCCGTTACAGCTAATTAATTAATTACAATCAACTGTAAAATTAATTATATACACCGTTCACTTAAAATAAATAGTCCAATCGTTTTCTAAGGTCTTCATATATATATTTAGATAAAAAAAAATAAGACACTTAGATTTTGACATTAACTATTTTTTTAGAACAAAAATGACAATCTTCGCAATGCGCTGAAAACGCCGTCAGCTGAAAACGCCACTTCTGCTATAAAACTATTCACCGTCCCCACTAAAATACTCATCATAGAACCCATGCTGCCATATATCTTAGAAGAGTAGATTTCAAAGAATATTCCTGCTCAGTATCGTCAGAATATTCGTAAAATGGTTATTCTATGTAATTTTAAAATAAGTGGTACTTATAAGTACCGTCGGTAGATATAAAGGGTTAAATTGTATAGTACAAAAAACATTTTAAACAATAGAAAATATTAGTGATAAACAAATATATTTTTAATTATGCAAATTAACATGTCATAAAGAACACATTTAAGATGTACGAAAAATTAAAACATGTATAATTCACAATAAAAAAAAATATGTTTCATTATTTTAAATTTTTACTACCTTTAAATATTATTCAAATCTCATATAAATATACTTTATTATTACAGTATCTTTATTCAAAGTTGTGTTACTATTTCAAAATTAGTTTGGGAGCGCTCTAGAGTTTATTAAATGACGATGAATTTCTAACAGAATTTAAGTTTACTTTAATAATTGCTTTGTAGGATCCGGATTCATGTACATGCAATTACTCAGATTGGGAAATCTTTGAACATAGAGTATATGTTACTAGAATTTTAAAAAAGTGCCTTAGGAGCTGACTGTTCCCTCAAGTATTTACCTTTGTACGAAGAAATTTTAAATTATTGTGGTTGTTTTATATGTTATAATCTCTACATTAGATGTGTTTACAAAATGCTAAACACAACATTTTAAGAAAACGGAACCGAAGTAAATGTTAATTAATACTAGTATTAGATGCAATCTTTCCAGATTTTCTCAATTGAGTAGAATATGAAATATCTAAAAGAGGTTGGAGTACATTTAGCAAACGCATTTTCAAAGAACCCTCTTCTAATATATAAATGCTCATACATTTCGATTAGAAAGTGTTTTTTATTAAAAATTAATAGATAACTCAAGTTGTTCTACTGCAGAAACATTAAATTATCATCGAATACTTTTCTGAATAGCCCGAATGCTTTTAGAAAATTTAAAGCAATTCCTATTTATAGAAAATGAAGTGAATCATTAAAGACAAGTCAACAACTGAATCATAATGTACATATTTAGATACTTTTAACATGATGTCATATCATCAAATATATGTATAATCGCTTAAAATTCATTTTAAAAATCAAAAGTGAATTTAGGCCAATTTTCCAAAATTATACTTTTGAACCATAATCTCAAGGACGAAAATTCACAGAATCTTTTTTAAAAGTTTTTGTAATGCATCCTAAACAAAACATAATATTTTATTAATATTGATTAGGTATTTAATACACACCTATTTTTTAAAAAATTTATATTTTCCTTTAAATAACTAAAGGAATTTTACCAGGAGAATTACTCTATAAAAGGTAATTTTTTGAAAGGAAAGTTATTTTAAACGTTTAAATAATGTCAGATGTATTAAGTGATTAATTAAATGGTCTGATTGAATAATTTAAGCTTAATTCGGGTTATTTCATTTTCATTTTAATTTAAATTTAAAGTAATTTAAGGTTTTAATGGTTGAGTTAAATGCAAATTTTTCATTTTAATTTTAATTCACCCCTCTCCCTAAACATTTATAAATTATTGTTAAAAAATTTTCAATCGTTAATAAAATACTTTTTATTCATCCATTCAATTTCAAATACATTTTTTAAACTTGTGAATTACATTTGAGTTATAATACAGTTTTTTTTAAAAATTATTAAACTATTAATTAATGTGTGAATAGAGTTACAAACAAAAATAATAATCGAACACCCTATATAGAAAGTAAAATAGAAACTTGCAAGGAAAATCCTTTTCTATTTTGTCACTTAATGATGTTATGCCATATGTATATACATATTTATATTAATTGTAATTATTTAATAAAAAATAACTAAAATAAGGTTTTTCTTTCTTGACCTTAGTAGGAATTGACTTATTTTTTTCTTAATATTATTTGTTCCCCTTCTGATTTTAAATTAATTTTTTTTTTACTGTGAATTTTATTATTTTATGTATGATAAGTATTCTCTACGTGAAAGAGATGACAAATAAGTTTACAAACAGTTATTTAAAAAGCCACATAATTAATGAAGTAAATACTTTATTGTATAATTAATCCTTACTAAAGGTCATTAAATATTAACACATTTTTAAATACAATACATCTTTACGAGAAAATGGTGAAATAAATAAGCAAAAAATTTACTATTAAGGCAGCTACAACACACAACCAGATTACTTTATTACATTATATCTCCTTTCAAGCTAATTTTAAATAATATTTAATATTCGAAGATTATTTGAAAGGAATAATTTGATCCAGCTTTTAATATACTTAAATAAACCGAAAATGTATACATATGACAGAATAAAAGTCAAGAGAGAATGTAGAAAGAATTTCAATTAAATAACCATTCATATTTAAAGATTGTGACAAGATATTATCTTAAAAATATCAAATAAATTATTTGTCAACTGTTCAAAGTAAGACGCTTTTTATGAGCAAACGTTTATCTTAGAAACCAACAACCAGTTTCGCAAATCATTTAATGTATTCATAAAATCATTTAGAATTTTTCTTTGTAATTACCACAATCGCTTTTTTTTCCCTTTCAGACAATTACTTTTTATGAAGGCAAAAAATCAGCTGATTTTTTTTAACTACTGTCGCCTCAAAAATAATGCGATATCTTTTATTTTATCAATTAAGATAAACAAAATAACTTGACTTTAAAATGGGGGAGGGACGGGAAAAAAGATTTTCTTAACTTGTATATTGTGATTTGCATTTAAAAGGATTTTTCTTTTTTGAATCATTGTTTGAAGAAAAAATACATTTTTTTTTATTCTTAATGAATGATGAGTTATTCAATTCGTAAATTTTTGTTTTATTTTATTTCTTAAGACAAGCTTTAATTTCTTTCACAATACATTTTATAACGAAATATATGTTTCTGTTTCGAAAATTCCTTAGTTCATAGGTAATTCAAAAATATTGCATGTTTTGCTCTATTTTTATTTTGAAGTTAATGTTCCTGGTCAGTAATTCAGTAGATGCGCATTATAAAACACAAAGAGAGAAAAAAAAGGAAAAGACACAGTTAACATATATTTTCAGAAAAAAAAATATTTATTCAATTTGTTGCACTTAATTTGGTATTTTAGATTTTTAATTCTAAAACGCTTATTGCAGCGTTTCTCAAATTGGGTCGCATCCCCCTGGGGGAGGGTGATAACTTAAGGAGAGATGTGTGAGAATATTGAAAAGTCGAAAACAAAAAAGATTTGTAAAAAAATATTAATTCATTGAAAGTAAAACAAAATACGTTCTGACATAGTAGAAAAAATACACATTCACACTGATATAATACGCTTATAAATGTATCAGTACTGCACTATATGCATTTCATAATTATTTTAACAATACTTAATTAAGAACTAGTTTAATAATTTCTAGAGGCCCCATGGGTTTGTCATATGTAAAATTATATTTACTAAAGTTAACACTTATCTTGATAATTAGTACGGTTTATAAGTAATCCTGTTGGGGTGAAGCGAGTGAACTATTTTTTCTGGTGGAA